CACCCCCCGGTTTTCCGCCAGCAGCGGTAAAACACGCTCTTTCCCAAGTGGCGGCACGGTTGGAAATGCAGCGGTAGCCGCAGTTGCGAAGTCCTCGTCGCCCGAGCCGATAAGCATACTGAGGGCGTCGTTGATGACGTCGACCATCTCGATGCTGTTGAGGCGCTGCTGGGCGTGACAGCCGCCTGTCGGGCGCGCTGGAACTCCTCTGTAGCTGATTCGGCCCCCCTCTCGTGGGTCTCCATGATGGCTCCGCGCTGTATCTCCCCGTGGCGGTGCGCATGTATCTCGCGCTGGAAAGCCTCGCGTTGTTCTGCGGGCCCATCGAGGCTCGCTGCAGCGCGAGCTGGGCGCGCCCTGCAGTTTTCAAAGCTTTGTAGTCCCCGTGCGGCTCGTACTTCCGCGCGTCGGCGGTGGCCCTTTGGAGGCGCCCCTTGCTGGCTTTTCCTTCGGTCGTCGGCTTCTTCTCCTGCGTCGCCCCGTTTGCGTTTTTTTTTTGCGGCGCGGGATTTTGCTGTCGGTCTGGCCATGGACCCCGCCATCGGACGCGCTGGCTTCGACGTCGGCGCGGTCTCAGCTGCGAGGGCCATGTTGCACTGCCTCTGTTTCTCCCGCGATGCCCCCTGCGCCCCGAAGACCCCCGCCGCCCTGGCGTCGGCCAGCGCGCGGCTGTGTTTGGTGAGCCTCTCCTGCGTCGCTTGTCCCGTAGTTGACGGGCATCTGTCGCGCGCAACTGGCGCCCCATCTGTTGCCGACCTCTTCATAATTTCCAGCCCCCCCTCCGCCCTTGCGATCTTCCCCGCGTAGGCGGTCTGCGCGCGCCCGCGTCGCGATGCGCCGCCGTCTTTCCCCTGTCGCCTGCTCGGAACGTCGCGTCACCTTTTTTTTTGAGCTCGTCGTCGCGGTGTTTCTCGGCCGTCGTCGCCCTGCGGCGTCGACGTTGCCCGCGTCTGCGCGCAGCTTCTTTCGCTGCTCGGGGGGGAGGGGGGGGGGCCCTCGGAGGTCGCGGGTCTCGTCGCGGGCGTCAGCCTTGCTTTCTCCCAATGTCGCTGGCCACGCAGTGGTTATATTCGCTCGAGATCCTGATCGCGCTGCCTGCGCCACTTCCGTCTGCAATTTCATCTTCCCTCGTTTGTTTCCCCGCTCGGTCACTCCGTTGGGCGGGGCTTGGTCCGCTGCCGCGGTGGCTGCTGGATTGAAACGCTCTGGTTCGCGTTCGTCGGGGGGGGCGGTGGCGGGGCGGGGCGGAGGGGCGCGCCTGCGGGCGTCGGCGCTAGGCTCGGTCGCTGCGCATGTGGACCTGGCCGTTTTTTTTTCTCACCGGGCGCTTCGCAATGTGGTCTCCCGATGGTGAGCCCTCTTGCACAGTGACCGCCCCGGTGGCAGGCCCTTCGGCGTTGCGAGGCGATGTGTTGCCCCCGCCGCTTAGGGGCCTTCTTCTGCGCCTGTAGGGCGAAGGTCGTGGGTGCTGAGGTTTGATGTGAGCATGCCACATCCTGTTTCAACTCTTGGTCGCTCGGCCGCAACTGAGTCCTTTCCCTGAGCCGTGCTGGCGTCGCGGTGCACCGTGGCGCTGTTGAAATGGCAATAGCGTTGGCCGTCGCGCGTTCACTGCGTCGCCCGTCGTTCAGCCGTCCTGAACGCGGGCGCGCTCGGCTTTGCGCGCCGTCGGGGCAGCGCCGCGGCAGGCCCCCGTCGTTGGTCAAGGCGTCTTTGAGGAGCGCGAGGGGGGCGGAAAACCACGAAGAAACAGGGCGAAGAGCACGGGGAGATTGGAGCAGGACGAGGAAAATGCTAACTAGGAAGGAAGAGGGCGACGAAAGAGCAGGACGAAGAGGGAGGAGAAGGATATGCGGGAAGGCGAGGCCGCGGGGCCGGCCCCGGCGGCCGCGCCCGGGCGCGGCGGCCCTCGGTCGCCGCCGCGCGCGCGGTCTCAAACACGACCGCAAGAGGCCCGCAGCAACCCAGCGTGGCCCGCGCCCGCCCTCGCGCGCGACGGGGGGCGCCCAAAAACTGCGAATGGGGGGGGGCTCTCAATCAGAAACTTCGCCCGGGCGCGCTGGGGTGTCATCCGAGAACTTCTCTTTGGGGGGGCTTGGTTGCACCCGGGAATTTTCGCGCGGAGGCCGCGGCAGCGCCGTGCAAACACAAAGTCCAAAAACGAATCCAACAACTAATCGCAAAACCCCGAGCACTACATGTTGTTTTGAGCAATCAAACCAATGGATGCGTTTGGGGAATTGGTTTTCTGGCGACGTTCCCGGGTGGTCCGCGGGCGCGGGCCCGCGCGCGCCTCCGCCGACGGACCCCGCGGATTCCCGCCAGCGCCCTGCGGCGACCGCGCAGATCCAGAGGGCACCGCCAGAACCATTGCCAGGCTGCCCAACAGTCGCCGGCAGCGTGTCGGGCCACAGCGGCCCGACCCAGACTGCCCCTGCCTGCCGGGGCTGTCTGGGGTTCTTAAGATGTCCTGGGGCCTCCTGGGGCTTCCTAGCTCCTAGCTGGAGACTCCTGAGCCCCCTCGGGTTTTCTGGAGCCTCCTGGGCCCGCTGCCTCCTGCGGTTTCCTGGTGATTCCTGGGGATTCCCAGGGTTTCTCGCGGCCTCCTGGCACTTCCTGCGGCCTCCTGTCACTTCCCGAGGCCTCCTGCGACCTTTTGCGGCTTCGTTGGCCTTCTGGAGATTCTTCTTCGGGGTCATCTGCGGTTGCCCGGGGCCTCCTGGTGTCTCGCGGTGCCCCCGGGCACATCCTAGCGTTTCCCGGGGCCTCTCGAAGCCTCCTGGCGATCCTGGCGCGCCCCCCCCCCCCCCCGCGAGCGCCCGCCCGTCTCTCCTTTTTTTTGTTCTCTCGACGCGGGTTCGGCGCCAAAGCAACATTGGAACAAGACGAGCCAGGGTGCCGAGCGAGCACGGGGCAATGCGCGAGCCGACAAGGGGATAATCGAACCCGCGCTTGCAACCGTGGTTCGGGAAAAAGTGGCAGCGACGCGGAGCGAACGCCGCGGCGGCCCAGACGGCCAACGCCAGCCGCGCGCGCGCACGCCGAGGAAGAATGATATTACGGATGCGCGACGCGGAAACCAGGGGAGGCGAGCGTCGCCGCGGAATTCTCGCCTGCGTTTACCTATCCACACCAGACGCGAAGGGCGGAGCGAGGACTGCAGCGGGGAAGGCGAAAGGACGCAGCCGAACGCAACAAAAAAAACGAGGAGGCGGAGCCTCGCGGCCCGGGGGGGGGGGACAAGTAGAGGTGAGGAGGGTGAATCGACGAGGGGGCGGGGAACTGAGCGGCCGCCAGGGAGATGCGAGGCAGGGAAGGAACGCTGGGAAAATGCGGATCGAAAAGAGAAAGGGGGAACCCACTCTGCACAACTCAAACAAATCTGCGGGCCTCGTCCGACCCCGCCCTCGCTTCCATAACATGAGAATTGGTTTCGGCGGGCCTCCAGCGGGTCGGCCCCGAAATTCCTTTCGCCGCGGCACTCTGCCCGGAGCAGTGCTGGGAACTAGGTCGAGCCTCGCCACTCGCGCGAGATGCGCGCCGCGATCCGCCCCTGCCGCGCAACACGCAAAAATCAGAAGATAACGTCTCCAAGAAGTTCCAGCGCGATAGCGCAATGCTGGGGGCGCCCGACTTCGACGCGACACGTCTGGCGCTTAGAACCATTGAATTGATAACGCGAGGCTGGCACGACATGTGGGCTTGGTACATTGAACCAGATTCTTCCACAAGCCTTCAAACAACAAAGCATTAGCAATATGATTCGCTGCTTTGGTCAGAGGTGACCAACTGTCCCCCGAAGGGTTTTCACGTCGGCCGGGGGAACGCATGGTCCGATAGCTTGACAGAGCTCTCGCCACAACTCTCGGCCGCATGCGTGGTTTCAAAAGGCAGGGGGCGGCGGTGATTCGCCGCAAGCATATTCGATAAGTGTGGTGGTGGGGGAAACGTGCACCAATCGTGCCCTTTTTGGTCACCGAGGTGCCCCCATGATCCTTTTAGGGCGCAGCAGTGAAGGGGCCCCAGGACACACAAATAAATACACACAAATAAAAAGGATTCCCGATATTTTCCCATATTTTCAGGGTTTCTGTCTCCCCCCACACTTCCCATATTTTCCCATATTTTCCTGGGAATGGACGATTAATTGTGTTTGTGTGTGTTTTTTTCTCCTCCTGAAACAGGCGCGCCCTTCTACGCCCCCCCAATGTATCGCACTCCTATCTTTCGACGCCCGAAGACGAGGGGGGGAACGGAAGGGGCCGGCCGAAAGGGCAATGGCCGGAAAAGGGGGGGGGGGGGGGGGCGATGTCAGGGCGAGGGCGCGCCCGAGGCGAGGGCGGAACTCAGCTCGATCAGGAGCTGGAATTGTGATGACTTGAGGAACATTGTGGATTCCTTCAGCTTCACCTCCTCCACCTCATCCCTCCCACCTCCTTCCTTCCTTCCTCTTTGCTGCCTTCCTCTGTCCGTCATTTTTGATCATCCCTTCTTAATGCTATCTTCCACCTGATTACTTTTCTCATTTTCCCCGCGTTCTGTTCTCGCTCGTTCCTCCTCCCCCTCCTCCTCCTCCTCCTCCTCCTCCTCCTCCTCCTCCTCCTCCTCTTTCGCTCCCTATTTCCTTTCATCCTTCGTTTTTTTGTTTCGCCTCCCTCCTTCCCTCCTTCCATCCTTCCTTCAGGCCTTCCTCCCTTTCCTCCACCCCCCTCCTTTTCCTCCACTCTCCTCCTCCTCCTCCTCCTCCTCCTCCTCCTCCTCCTCCTCCTCCTCCTCCTCCTCCTCCTCCTCCCAAACTGCCCTTTTCCTCCTCTCTCGCGCCCTCCTGCTCCTCCTGCCGCTCCCTTCTCGTCGCTTCTTCCTTCCTGGGTCGGCCTCCGGCGGTCGGCGCGCGGCAGCCCGCCGCCCGGGCCCGTGGCCGCGGCCGGCAGCCGCTGCCGCGCGCGCGCCGCCACCCAGCCTGCGGAGCTGCCCGCCGCTGGCCGCTTCCGCTCTGCCGCTCAGCCCGAGGAGCTGCTGGAGGAACACCGCGAGCTGCCGCTGCCGCCGGCGCCCTTCCGCTTGGCCTGCGGGTGGGGGGATGGCAGGGGGCGGGCAGGGGGGCTCCGGCGGGGCGCCGCGGGAGGGGCCGACCGGGCGCGAATTGCGGCGAAGTGCGGGGGCGGAGGGGGCGGGCGGGGGAAGGGGGGGCGGGAGGAGCAGGCGGCGAGGGCGGAGAGGCAGGGCAAGGCGGGGCGCCGGGGAGGGCAGCGATCAGCCCAAGCGGCCGACGTGGCAATGCCTCCGCAACGTGGTTCCCCAGGAGGCCTGGGCCCCTTCCCTGGGACCGGTGCTTCGTCCTGGGCCGTTTGGACAGCCCAAAGGCCCGGGAGTCTGGAGATCACTGCGAACATCCCGTCGCAGCTTGTTCGGTACGGTTTTTCGGTCACGGCACGAGCATATGTCGGGGAGGGGCGGGGGCGCAGAGGATGCGGAGGGGGCCAGGAGGAGAGGGCGGTGAGAGCCAGGGCGGCGGGGGGCGACAGGGCGGGAGAGCGCAGGAGAAGGCGGAGGAGGGCGGTGCCAGTGCCAGTGCCGGTGCCCGTGGCGGTGCCAGAGAGCGAGAATCGCGGTACTGTGAGAGATCGGGAGGAGGAAAGGAAACATAATTACCTGCTCAGCCCTGCCCTACTTGTTCCGTACCATTCCCGGAGTGCTCACGCTTGATCTGCTGGGGTGGCCCCCCTGCCTTGTGGCCACAGTGCCCACATCAAATTCACGTCAAGGTGCAGGGTGAAGAGGGTGCAGGGGTCGTGTACGGAGGGTGATCAAGATGGTACAACGGGAGGTAGCGCAAGAGGGCTGTCCACGAAGTCGCGAGGGCCGGACGCCAGACGCGCTCGGATGCCCGAAAGCCGTCCTTCAATGCGGGGTGCAGCAGAACATCATGCCGGAACTTCTTGCCAGTCATATCAGGCTCCCCAACTGCACCACCGAAGTACGACATGCAAACCACAAGGCTCAAGTAGGCGACCCTGCGCCGGCTGATTTTAATGGGCCCCCAGACGAATGCTGTCCCCAGGGAGTACTGGCGGGGGCCGGAAGCAAAAAGCTCCCTGGGACATGGGAGGCCCTTCCCGGCGGTCACCTCTTCTTTCCCCTCCCCTTTTCCCCTCCTCTCCCTCTCTTCCGACCCTTCCCTTACCACATCGATCTGGAGGAGGAAATTCCTGAGCCTTGAAGCAGCCCAAAGGGATGCACTGGCTGTAAGCGCGTATGTCCACCCTCCCCTTTCAGCAGGCGCCTGCGGGACGCGCTCCCAAGGCGACAGGGGGAGAACGCACCAGCACCAAAACACTTCTGACCCCAGAGCAGGAGGGACACGAAGGCAGACCGGGGAGAGGGGAGAACTCCAGTGGAGACGCTGATGTTACGACGAGAGCGTCCGCTGGTGTCCGCGGCGGCGCCATGGCACTGCGCGCAAGGCCCCAGGAGCCACTGCGTGCCATGCAGTCCCAACGGACGGCGGCGCCTTCTTGGCCTGCTGCTGCTTTTTCTTTTTTCTCAACTCGTCCTCTCTCTCCTTCTCCTGAGGGGGAATGGCCATTTCCTACGCCCTGCTAAAAGCTGCGCGGGCCGAACAAAAATCCGCCAGTACTCGCGCAAGGGGGTTTAACCATTTCCTCTTCTACCCCTCTTCACCTCTGAGGAGGGGCGTCCCGCTGCGCCATGTTCAACAACTTCCCCTCCCCCGCTCGACAGGCCGCCACCCAGGAACCGTGCACCCCCACACCACCATCCTTGCCAAAGAACAAGACAACATTGTCGCGGCTGAATATTGATCAAGAGCGGGCCCCCCCGGATCACTCGACATTGGCTGTGTGATCATATTTGTCCGCTTCGCCCTGGTCCAGTTATCACAACAAAAAACATAGCGTGGTCGGGAACAGTGGTGCTGATTTCGGGCTGTGCCCCTGCATCCTTACTCAGTAAGCCTTAGCTGCTGACGGTGCAGCCCTGCACCCCCTTATCGGCAACGGTGCAGGTCTCCACCCTTGCACGCGCACACCCTTAGCCGCAACGGTGCAACCCTGCGCTCTTACAACCTTGCACTTTCAGCCGCTAACGGCGCAACCCGGCGCACATGCTCCCTTGCACCGTAGCCGCCAACGCTGCAGCCCTGCAGATTTACACTCGAGGGTTTCGGGCGGGCCGGCTCTCTGTGCATCTGGTAGTTGCCACCGAACAGCGCTGTCAGAAACTGCGCCCGCGCATCCCAGAAACACTGCGCGTAGGCGGCACGAGGTTTTGGCATCCCCTGCTTGCCCGTGCGATCTCAGGGGAGTGGCAGGGGGCGTTTGTTCAGCGGGCCGAAGTAGCCGCAGATGTAGGGGGGGCGAAGCTCTGCTATTCTGCTTCGTCTGCTTCCATGCCGCTCAGTTGAAGGCAAAGGGAGATGCATCCGACTGGTAGACTTAAGTCGGGCGTGTCCCCCATACAGGAGGATTTTGGGCGAAAAATAAAAATACAACAAATCCTCAAACATACTCCAACATAGTCAAAACATCTGATTATTGTTAGATTATTTTTGAATATTCCCCCTGTAGAGGGACACGCCCGACGTAATGGTAGACGCTCGGCTCGGCGCTCAGGAATATCATGGCGCCGGCCCAAGCCTGCCGCTCCTTCGCCAACCTGGGCCATAGCACTGCCCGCGCAAAGTAACGCCGCCGGATGCAACGCTAAACGCAGTGGGAGCACCTGAGAATCTCCCGCCGCGCCAAGCCGTTGAAGGTCAGGTGGCCGACAGCGATCTCCAGCTCAATGCCAATGACCGTGCGGCTGCGCAGCAACGCCCGCAAGGCGTCGCGGACCCTCCAAAATCAGGCCGGGCCGCGCGTGCCCTTCGTGGCCGCTGAGCTGCACGCCCAATGCCTCGCCGCCCTCGCCGGCAAGGGCCGTCTCGTGGGCCTCGGTCGGGGCCAGCGGCGGCGAAAGACGCAGTGGCCGACAGCAGGTCGTCAGTCGCGATGACTGTCGTGGCGCTCGGCACCCCGATGTCGCCATGGAGCGTGCGCTGACCCGCGGACCGCTGGCCGCCCAGGATGAGCGGCGGCCCGCGGTCGGTCATCTGTACTGCCTCCTGCAGCTCAGGGACTGTCATCATGCGGCGCGCGTTGGCGGCCCGGGCGAAGTAGCAGACCGCGCCCGACCCGTCGGCAGCGCCCTGGCCAGCGGATAGACCAGGGTGTCGGGCGACAGGGTCACGTCGCCCAGATGGCCCAGGCCGAGCTCGCTGGCCGTCAGCGGCGGGCACCCGACGAGTTCCTGGACCCCAAGCTCGTCGTCGAGGAACAGCCGACAGAAGCAGTCCTTGAGGCCGTTCACCCCGAGCAAAGTGTCGAGGCCAGCGAAGGCGCCGCCCACTTCGGATGTGTCTGGCGCCTGTCTCTCGACGCGACTGAGGCCGTCCCCGCTGGCGAAGCCAACGCGCTGGGCGGGCTATTGAAGACGCGAGTGGCCGAGGATCAACTCCTGGCGATCACTCTTATCCTCTTGGCGAAGGCAATGCCCTGGCATCGGCGGAAGAGCCAATGCCGCGCCGAAACCCTCAGCAGCCGGCGCACCAGGCCGAGGTGCGCCCGCCGCTCGTGCTTCATAGTTGGGGTCACACTGGGTCGAGCTGGACCGAAGCGTGCCTTCGTTTCGTCCGCTTCCTGGGGCAAACGCAGCGCGTGGCCCTCGAAATCCTCCAACTGGATCCGCGCCGCCTCCCTGGCAAGAATCGGAGAAGTATCGGCGATCCTGCCGGAGCGTCCGGGATAGACAGCCTGGCGTGGGAGAAAGGGGTCAAGGTCGCATAGGCCAGATGGATGAATCAGCCTCGGCCCCGCAACAATCGCCAACGAGCTTGCCGCTAATTGTCCGCGCTGTCTGGGCCGCCCCAGTTTGCCGACTGTCATAGGGCCCGTCGCTGCGTGTCCTGCTACAGCTCGGCCGCGCGACAGCGCGTAGCCCAGCTGGGCGCCGCCGCAAACGGGCGCCGCTCAGCGCCGCGCAACCAATCCAGACTCGCCAAACCCGTTTTCGCCAAGCGCAGCACCCGCGAGCGATCGCGCCGCCCCAAGCCAGCCGCGACGTCGGAGCTCAGCTCGCGCAGCAAGGGGACAGGATGATCGAATTACACCTGCCCGCCGCGCGTGGCCTATGCTTCCAAGCCAGGGGGCGCCCTCGCCCCTGGCCCCGTGCCCATCATTTCAACGGGGCGGCGGCCGCCGCGTCGCCAGGCTTGGCCTTCCCACTGGCCTCCCGACCGCGCTCGCCGCCGCCGCCTCTGCCGCGGGCGCCCTCTTCGGCATCTGAGCGAAACAGGCCGCCAATCTCGAGCGCGCCACTGACGTGGTCAACGCCACCGCCGCCACCGCGGCTGGCCGCGCGAGGCCCGCGGCTGCGGCCAAGGGCACCAAGACGGTCAGCCTCGTCTCGCGCCGCCTTGTTGGCGAAGTTCCGAAGCTCGGGCGGCGCCACATCGAACGGATCGCTCATCCCGGCCAGAAATCTGCCAGCCTCCAACCGCGGGCTGACCAAATTTGGCGCGATAGGCCTCGCTGATCTGCATCACCCGCGGTGCGGCCGCCTCGAGGCACGCCCGGCCCCCGAGGTGCATGGGGTCGAATGTGCCGGCCACCCGGAAGATCGTCACCCGGGTGTCCAGCCCGTGCCGGGTGCGATCGTGCTGGCCGATGCCGCACTCCCTGCAGCCACGTCGCAGGAGTAGGGGCCCCCGCCATGCTGGGTGAACTGCTGCGCACCTCGCGCCCGCCGCGGGCCTCGTGCTCTCGGCCGCTGCCCGGCGCCACTCCATGCAGCGGGCGCCCTGCTCCCTCCGCTCCACCGCGATCGCAGTGCGAGCGCCCTCGTCCAGGGCGTCGCAGTGCCACTGACCGCGTCCAGGGTCGCGGACTACGGCTGAGGGGCAACGATCGGGGGGGATAGGGACAGGGGGGGGAAACATCGACCTGGAATCGGCGATACATCGCCGGTAGATCGACGATAGGCCCCCGATAGTGAATCCGCATCTTCCTGGGCAGGGGGCTATCGGACCCCTATCGTCGATCAGTGGGCGATTGGGGGTCGATGCATCCCCCCCCTACGCCTATCCCCTCCTATCTGACTACCTACCAGACCACCCGTTCCAACCCGAAGACCCGAATTTCGGGTTGGGGGGGTACGGACTTCTTATGTGTTTTTTTCCATGTATGTTCCCCGACCCCCCCCCTGGAAATGGAAGGCAAATCGGGGCCTTGGGTTGGGGTGGTTTGGTGGGCGGCGACTATCGCTGCCCCCGAACAGCGCGGCCCGCAGGTCGGCGCAACCGCCGACGAGATCTCCACCGTTCCGCGCGGATCCCGCGGCGGGGGAACGCGCGGCAGCATGCGGCCAGCGTCGTCCAGCATCTGGGCGCGGCGCTCCTCGACCTGACCGCGGGGCGCCCGCTCGCGGAGGGGGCGCCCCTCGGTCCGCGCGGCGTCCACCTCGGGACCTGCCTCGTGGTCGGCGGGGCCGGCAGCGACCTCATCGCCAAGCTGGTAGC